ATTCCATCTATTTTCAGTTCTATAACGTTCCATCTATTTTCAGTTCCATAACATTCCATCTATTTTCAGTTCCATAACATTCCATCTATTTTCAGTTCCATAACATTCCATCTATTTTCAGTTCCATAACGTTCCATCTATTTTCAGTTCTATAACATTCCATCTATTTTCAGTTCCATAACATTCCATCTATTTTCAGTTCCATAATACTGAGTAAAACTACCTAAGAATTATAGGACAAGTATTAGAAAGATGCACCTGGTGATGAGAATCTTTATATTACACGATTATTGAAATTGTTTTGTTTTTGGAAGTTAAGCACAGAGCTACACAATGGGCTATTTGTGCTCTGCCCACCACGGGTATCGAAACCCGTTTCTAGCGTTGTAAGGAATTATTAAAATTAAATATTAAATATATTTCTAGTATACAAATAACTAGGTTACTGTAAACTAAGTACATTATTCGCTCATATTTTACAGGTTACGGATAAAAATGTCAGGTACCCTGTTCTACACACTCTGGGATACATCCTTATCTATACAAGCTCTTGCATCAATCCAATTATCTACGGTGTCACCAACAAGCAGTACAGAGAAGCATACAAGTCAGTGCTGTGTCGAACAAGGCCGAAACGAACGAGTGTATTGTATAATGTGTCTCCATCTAATGAGAACAGTAGTTCTCAAAGCCCTCCACATTCTAATATCTCTCAGTCTACAAAAGGGTCTGAAATAAATGAACAAGTGTGAAGTTTTTAATCAGAAGTAGTCTGACAAAAATACAACCGTATAGGTTTTAGGCAGTAAATTGTATTATTTTAAAGTTGGTGCTAAGTTATGAGATTACGTTAAATGTCCGCTAGATGAACTATTTCAATAATTCAAACTTCTATAATGTTATACAATTTCTTAAGTTTTCTTGGCTACATATTCAATTCTTTATATACGAAAATCTAAGTTAGAATTTTCTTAATATATTTAGCAACTTTTGTATTATTAGTCGCAACTTTGAGTGGATTCTTTTTCTGTTTTTGGTAATAGTATATTGATAAAACCAAACCTATTTCTTAGACCTTTGGAATTTTAAAGAGCGTCGACAATCTCATTTTGTGTGGATATCTAAGCATAATTTACATACGTTTTTCATTATTTTCAATCAGTGTGTCATTTCAAGGTTTTTCCAATAATGTATTTAGGTTTGAGACGTCTTTGACGTCTTATAAACTAAATGAACTGTATAAAAAGAAAGGATAAATAAACGTGTTTTTTTTAAGTTTTCAAATTTTATAGTAAGTACTGAAACTTTCCCAGTCATATTCTAATAAAAATAGCAGACTGCTTTTGTAAAAATACAATATTTTCTTATTGCTCCCCGGTGGCTCAGTGGTAAGTCTGAAGGCTTATAACACTAAAAATCGGGTTTGATATCTGTGGTAGACAGAACACAGACAACCTATTGTATCTTTCCGTTTAACGACAAACAAACTTTTCTCATTTTTCTGCTTCTGAACAAGCGAAATTACCAATATAAACGGATAATCTTTTTAAAAATAATTACAGAGATTAAAGCAAATTAACCACGTACCTTTTCGAGATGTGGTCATCATTGTGGTAGTTTTATGTTCTCGATAATTGAAGGTAATACGGCTAGATGATTCTAATATTCGATTATATCCGTACACTAGATAAATTTGTTTAGTCAAACGGTGTTCTTAAATGATATAATGTAATATTTCTTTGCCCCTCAGTGGCACAGCGGTATGTCTATGGACTTACAGCGCTAGAAACCAGCTTTCGGTACCCGTTGTGGGCATAGCACTGATAGCCCATTGTTAGGTTTGTGCTTAACTTGAAACAAACAAACATTTTTTTTTTATTTAATGGTTGTTACATGTCTGAAACGTCTAACACTAAATTAAAGAGGTAAAATGCAAAAACCGTTGTAATTCAAGCACGATCAACAACTTGTTTATAGTGTAACATTCCCCTTAAATATTTGCATTTAAATTCATCAAAATATTTACTCTTTTCATTCTTTCTATGTTGCTTTCGGATGCGTTGAAATCAGGAGTGGAGCTTGTGGAATACATTAAGATCATATACGTTTTTACAACTTCTTTCTGCATTTTTATGAACACTGTTTTTTTTAAAACTGAATAAATTAGACAAAGTCTATATACATGTACAGCATCATACATATCCTTATTCATATACACATATTTGCATATTCATGTATCTCAACATTACATATCATCACATATAACAGTAGCTTTAAACAGACTTCCTCCAACTGGTACACTATTACCCTGACAACCAAAAAGGACTACTTCCATTAACTAGGTCTTCATAGCTATTTTGTGAACCATGGAACTCAACAAGTTTTCTCGCCATCACAAAAAAAAGCCTAGCAGAGTGGAAAGAGACTAAGTAAAGCTTTTCAGCAAAAAACTTTTCAGCCAGGATTAATATTCATGCTGTCATTACACACCCAAACAAACCTAATCAAAGTACAACATTCCACTGCAAAATATATTTACTGTCCAACACCAGTAGCCCAGCTATCAGTATATTGTATCACTATTCGCGAATCAATCCACTCGCAACAGCTGGCATCATAGAAAAATTACATTAATTATATGTAATTATATATAAATATTAATTATATGTAAATCCAGCTAAACAAGGCCCATTCTTCTACGATTCAGAACAATCCCATTCGTATTCTGTGCTCAGGAAGAACACAACCCTCTCACTGCACACGGAAGAGTAATGTGTACACATTTGAGATCTAATATGTATCATGCAATCTGCTCTGCGGGAATCCTGCTACTAATTTACTAAACAGAGTGGCAAACAATCTTCCCAAAACGTTAAATAAACATTTCACCTCATAAAATCGTTTGATAGATCAGAAGGTAAATATTACAATGCCCTTTAAGTTATCTTTCGAATTCCTAGCAGTCATCCTTAGTCATACAACTTATGGATGTTCTAGGCACTATAACTAGTCATCCTAATGGTATAATAACCAAATAGCTATCGCCAATATTCTTTAGCCATTTCTCAATAAAACTGTACTCGACAACTCAGAAAGTAGGGGTCTCACTGCCCTTCAACAAACTATCCTAGCTTTTGTAATCGTGTGGTAATCACAAAATGTACTACATACATTTTATACTGAAACATTACTTGATAGCTCGAAAACATAATAAAGGATGCTACTGCCTTTGAATCCTTGATCTTAAAATCAGTGACTGTTGCAGGTGCTGATCTGGCAGTCAATTCCAGTAACGTTGATAAAGAGGTCATCATCCGTGTCTTGGCCGATCATCAGAGGATCTTGTGCCTCTTCTCCAGGTTTTTCCTCATCTAACTCATTTTGTATAACTAGATAAATACTTTAATTATCTTCCTCCTCATCAGCTGAGTCGAGATTATACAAAACAGTACCCATCACCCTCAGACTCAACAAGTCTAGGCATTTTAATTCTGATCTGGACAGTGCACGAAAGTTATGTTATTGTCGTATGGTACTAGCTTGTCAACTGCTTTTCCATGTGCTCGTAATATCAAAGCCATACACAGTCTCCATGCAGGAATATCCATTCTAAACTGTCTCATCTTAAAATCTTTTCTGCAATACAACAGCTTTTACTAGCTGTTGACACACAAACTTGTGTGCATGAACTAACACAGAATTTAACCACTTCACATATTTTTGTGGACATCTGATCTATAGGGAGCAGTATTTCCCAGTGAGACATGAGTATGTTTAGCAAATAACCAGTCGATCTCCGTTCTCTTGCACGATACACAATAATGGTATAAAACACGTGTTTGTTCAAGTTGGTCCTGTTAAGATTAAGAAACCTCACAAACATCCATTTGACAATTTGTATTACCTGCTTTACGGATGTGTCAAAGTGGGTTATCTCGCATTCTTCCACTACATCAGCAACAGACTGTTTTTAAATATTGACTAATGGAGAAGCTTTGGGTCACTGAGTGAAATTAATGACTAGCACGTAACTATTACCTCTGGGAGAGAACCAGTGATATCTAGGACTATTCTCCAATATTTCTCTACTGGAGTTTTCCCTATTTTAGCTGGCTCTTTCTCCGATAAACACTCACTGTTTACTTAACATCTCTATTCCAGTGCGGCCAGTAAAACCACCATCTCAAATTAGCATAAGTGTATGTAACACTTTGTTGGCCTCCAATCTTCATATATTGAAGAATATCCTACCTAAGAGCTCTGAGGACCATGAGCTGTAACATGGTTTGAAAACTACATCTTGGTGGTTGATAATAATGATACACTACGCTTTCATGGGTTCATTGGTCCTCATAAAATTGCCATAGATTATATGCATTCATGCTAAAAAAATTAACTTGCACTGGTCACGCCCCACCTTCCTGCATGGCAAGGACCACCAATGTTAGATCTTGTTCCTTCAGTTACTGTTACTGAAACTCTTGAACTATTAATTGTGGTATTTAACCACTAGTGGAATCTTTTATCATATGGCTTAACATTGCTATGCCTGAAATGGCTTTAATTCCCATATGGTGTCCAGAGTCGGGATATTCAACAAATAGACAGGGTTTCAACATGCAGTAATGTGTTCTATTGATGAGTTTGTTTTACAGGCCCAAACAATGCAGTACAACAAAGTCATACTCCTGCAATATTGTGACTCAACATGTAATCATACTTTCTGGACTTGGAAAGTTCATAAGTTAGTTTAGTGACACATGGTCATGCAGGCAATGTAAGTAGTGTTTGCTGAAGACTACAACTGCAAGCAGTTCTTTTTTCCTCATATAGTATCTGCATTCAGGAGTTGTGAGCAGAAAACTAGCATACATAATTGTACATTTCACTTCATCCTGCAACTGCAATACTGCCTCAATTCAATTATTGCTGGCATCAGTATTCAATAAGAATTCTTAATGTTGTCGAGGACACACCAACACTGGCGTCTCAACCAAAATCAAAGCACATTTTAATGAAATGAATTTGACTTCCTATGTCTACCTAAAATATGCATCAGCTTTAATGAGAGGAGGTAATGGTGTGGTTATCATTAGTAATATGATGCAAAAACAAGAAAACTGTGGACTTTTCATCTGGTCAGGGATCGGGGCCAATTGCACATCACTGCAACATTTGTATGTTTAGTAGAGACTCCATCTCTACCCACATCATGACCAAGTAATCCAACCTGTGTGTGTGCACGATATTACACTATCGTAGTTTCAGTTTCAAACCTGCTTTTCTTATTCACTGAAGTACCACTCCCATGTTTTCAACAGCAATCTCGAATGTGTGGCCAAACACCAAGACATATCAGCATCGACTAGATATCTTTCCCATCGCAGTTCCTTCAGTACAAGACGTTCAGCTGTCCCAGGAGTGAATAAAAATCAAAATAAATATGTTCACCCATCTAAAATCCACACGGAACTTTGCCATACCTTCCTTTTTTGTGGCAATCACCACTAGAGACAATCGTGCATTCTATTACATCTGTATGATTCTGTCATTTAACATCAGCTGTATCCTAGTGCTGGCTAATCCCTAGTGTGCCATTGCTACCTGCACAGCAGTTGTTTAATTGTGTGTGCATGGTATGTATCTACACAATTAAAAGTTATGTTTGTTCAACTCAGCTAGTATTTGATTCCACAAATATATCAGCAAATGAAATTAAGAAGTCACTAAGTTTCTACCACTTAGTAGAATCAAGACTACGTACGTTCCTCAACTGGCGACTTCATATATCTTGGCAAATGTGCTAGGTTTTGCAACCTCCACTTTGCTTTCCATGCCAACGACCATTCAAATTAAACGCTGAATAGCAAACTTGCAAAACAAGACTGTAACTTCATCATCTCTCAAACAGATCACTGTTTGAGTTAATGATTCCTTCTTTATGGACATGAAACGGTGTATTTCAAACATTCGCTCTATCACCATGTTACATGGCATTAACATATTAGACCTTCTTTAAAATAAACCACAGAACACAACTTGTGTACATAGATCTGCTATGACTTCCTTCAGCAACACACCCTCATATGATCTGCTATTCCTGTAACTGGTCTGATGGTATCAAATTACTCCCCGTGCAATGCCATTCACCTGTTGCACAGGCAAAACTGGCTGACAGTTTTTGAGGTATGTCCTTCTTTAGGATACTACTGTCAAAATCAAGGACAGAGATGTCTATCTTCATTCTGTCGTCGACCTCACCTAGACATAGTCACATTT